AGACTCCTCTCAGGAACCTATAGGTCACCCCCCTCCTACACACACACACACACACACACACACACACACACACACACACACACATACACACGATTGTTTGTTGCTTTTAGGTATATGCTTGTAATTGTTTGATAGATGTTTGTTGATATATATTTTAAAGACAATTTAAAGACAATTTTTTATATTAAATTATCACCCGGCCCTAACATAACCTGTTGGTGCATTTGGGTATCGTTGCAGCTGAGCGGCTGATGAGGCTCAACAGACGAGAGGTTAATGTCATGTTGCCTTAGTGGTATCAGAGTAGTACACAAGTACATCGATAGATGAATACTGGTATTGGTACATCCCTGCATTAGAACACAAGTAAATCTTAGCTATCAATGTGGTCTGATGTGATGAAATGTTTACACACAATATATGGAATTGTGTGTAAACGCTGACGCTCCCATCATTTCTGTACATACCTCATTCTGAGCTTCATGTTAAGATACTCTATGGGGCTTTTATTTTGAAAGGGTGGGACTGGGTGGGTGAGAGAGGGGGAGAGGAGACATATGCATAATGTTTGGCACACAAACACAGAGGTTATTAAATGGCAGGCTTCATCAGAAGCATTCCAGTTAAAATTCACTCTCTGGGGCTTTTATTTTGAAATGGGAGGGGGGGGGGGTTCTCTAAAAATATCTAAGACCTGAATGACTGTATGATAGAGAGAGACGCAGAGAGTGAGACAGACAGACAGACAGACAGGAATGCCTTTGACTGAATATAAAGAATACTCTTTTTATAGCACCTCAAATATTCAGTTATTGGATATTTCTTGGACATTTACTTTAAAAAATCTCTTAATTACCACAGTAAAAATGTTTCATTTACTGTATATGTGTGGTCAGAGATTTCCTCAACTTATATGCATTAGTCATTGTCTGGAATTATTGAGAAAATAGTTTTTATAGCACCTCAAATATTCAGAAATGTACCTGTCTCTGGGTACAAATGTATGACATTTAATTTGAAATATCTCTTAATTTGTACAGTAAAAATGTTTCATTTTCACTATGGGAGGAGTCAACAATGTCTTGAAGACATATACATCAGTCATTGTATGGAATTATTGAGAAAAATATTTTTCGAGCACCTTAAATATTGTGATATTAGGCTTTTTTTGTCCTGAACATATATGCATTAGTCATTGTGGGGAATTATTGAGAAAAACATTTTCATAGCACCTTAAAAACTTCAGAAATTTGCCATTTGAAGATACAAATTCAGTTCAGAGTTTTTGCTTAGTAAAATATCTTAATTGACTGTCAGTCAGCTATTATTAATTTCCAGCAACCCTCAAATCAAAGAATAAAGACACTTTATGCACAGTTTAGGTGTATTTTCCCTTTAACTCACGAGATGAAGGTATCATTTTTTATACTTATTAGAATATAATTCATTTAATCTTATTTCCATTATGCAATATGTATACTTTGTTGGCATCTTATTTTGAAAACCGGATGGTCGTCTGTAGAAAACCGGAAGTTGTCTCACGTTAATCTTTCCGCTAACTTTGCAAAGTCCTTTGCTCGCTCCCGATCTGTGCTATTTGGTTGCGTTTACCGTAAGCTTCAGCGTATAGGTGTACTAAAATTGAAGTGTCTGCTGACTTGACCGCAGTCATCTAGTATACTGCATCGCTCCGAGTTGTGGGACCTTCTAGACTCCAGATCATATATCCAGACTGATCTATGGGAGTGAAATGCATAATAATTTGGATTTAAGGTTTGGTGATTGACTGGCCATTGAAATATATCCACAGTTTGACCCATAAAACATGCTTAGTGTGATGGAGTTCAGTCGAAACAAAGATGACAGGGACAGTTACCACGCTTTTTAGGCGGTCGGCGACTGTGCAGTGGCTTGTCCCTCCACGGCCTCCGTTGCAGTACTCGAGGACGTAGGTGGCGGTGGTCTGCCATATTGTCTCTGATACAGCAGAAATCACACACTGGCACAGGCACACACCGGCGACGGAGGAAGGCGAGGACCGTTGGCTTGACGAAACTCAGCTAACGGGGAAGTATTTCGGTCGTGGACTTGACCTAGGGGGTAAATATCCATTCCACTCTTATGTTGATAATGCAGACGCGCATTACATGTGGAAACTAGCGATCGTTCACGTTAGCCATGCTAAGGTTAGCCGTCTAGCAGCTTGGGCCCGCCTAGAGCCGATAAGTTACTGACACCTTCTGCTCACAGAAAGCTGTTCAAGTCGGTGGTCTAGCTAACTAATAAGCATTTGATTTAACGTAAGTCATCGGAAAATACAGCCGGATTAACCTCTCATTAAAAAGTCCTTCAACACCATGCAAATCGTCATTTATCATACAAATGTCGACGTATCGTTAACATTACGGATGTCGCATACATTCTATGAATAACTGTAACGATAACGTTACATGTGACGTTAGCTTAACTGGTCAATTTGCACAGTGAGAGCTTTAGTAAAAGTTGCGATTTCATTGAATTTAGTTCCAATTGGTTTAACGCAGATGAATTGAGTCAATCCGGAGGTCTCGCGTTGCATGGGGTGTCTTGAGTGTATAGGCTAATATTCGGTATTATCCGAAACGCCATATTCAGATATTAACGTAACAGAATTGTACACTCCAATGATCAAGTGTGTTCTTGCTTTTCTCACCGGAAGTAAAATTAGTCGACAATGTAGTGGGAGTAATATCTCCCAAATACTTTTACCTGTTAACTAGGAAGTAGAATAGGTTAGATTATAAACCAATAGATGCCAATAATTAATTTAATAAAGTAACGTTAGCTAGCCGGCCGTTGACAGCTAATTTAGTTTAACGTTAGCTCCTGCGACTGACGTTAGGTAAGCTACGTAACGTATAGAACGACAAAAATGCGCATGTAGCGTTCAGTTCAGCGGGAAAAAAGGATTGTCAATGAGTTAAGTCAACTTCATTTAAACAGCCCGATACAACATATTTGCCTTGAAGCACCTTTGCAATTTGTCAGGTAGGTCAGGGAGGAAGCTTGCCTCATACCAGTCGGGACAATGAAAATAGTTTCTCATCCCAAAGTTGGTAAAAATGCTGTATGTATGGTTTGTGTATGTCATAAGGAAGCAAATTAAAGCAGATGAGATACTGCACAGCAATCCTTATTATTTCAAACATGTACAGAAAGTTTTCCCATTGTTCAGTGTTACTTACTTGACCTGGGTCAGAAAGAGATTAAAGTGTTCAGTTGCTCCATCAGTGGTGTCATTCAAATAATGGATTTGGCTGTTTGAATGAGATCAATACTTACACAGCTTTCTGCCCTAGTAATTGAACAGGCTGTGTCAATACTTTCGGGAGTCAGTGGTAATGTGTGAAACACAATGTAAAAATGAACACTCAACTAGAGCTGGAACTCATTTCAGCCACTTCTATCTGTGAGCTGCCCAACGCTCATCACGATTCTGTGAGCTGGAGGCTCAGCTCTCTCCTCGCCACATCACTTTTGTTGGTGGTTTTGTTAGTAGCTTGTATACAAGGCTCCACACTGTTTTTTTTCTCACCACCGTCCTGAAAAAAATAGTTTTGGGGCATTAGTCATTCTAATTATGTATTATAAGCTGCTTTAAGCCAGTGTTAAAGCCTGTGTCCATAGAACGTGTTTTTCTGTCAAACTGTATTTGTTCGGCATAGATTGTTCACCATGAGCACCAACCCGAGGATGCTTGCCCTCATACTTTGTATGGATGAGCTTGTCTGAATGCCGTAACATTGGAGCAAGGAGGACGATCCGTCGGAGACAACGCATACGGCGATGAAAGCACAAATCTTACCAGCAACATTTAATGTCCTCCCGGCTGACCTGCTCCTACAAATGGACTTATCGGTCTTTGTTTTGGTCGTATGTGTCCGGCATATAAAGCTCAAGACAGACAGACACGACCAAAAGCTTTTCCTCCATTTTCTACAATGATGTCACCAGCGCTTTTCTGAAGAGATTTTCAACTTGAAGCGCTCAGAGCAGCAGCACAAAAATGGTGGCGCGCTCAGAGAAAACACACTGGGCGCAGCACTTTTATCTCTTGGCACTCATTGGCAACAATTGTTTTTTAAAAGATGCTGGTGCTCAGAAAAAAATGCTACACACACCCTTAGAAAGGAACAGGTTACAATTCTCCCTCTAATATCTATTTTATATTGCTGTGAAGACATCTGCTTCAAACTACTGGATTTATTCGTTATTCTCTTAAAAAAAAAAAAAAAAAAAAAAATTTAACAAGATAATATTTGAACACATGAGAAAGGTAATTTATTAACAGCCAATAGTTTTTACTGAATAGAGAACGACGGTTCATAATGTAACTCAATTTAACTGTTATTGCCGGTGCTGCCATCGTTACTAGCTCTCCTGCTGGTTTCAACACGGACTTGTTCACAATGTCATTATCAGGGATAATGTCATTATCAGGCGACGAGAAGGCATTAATGGTGATCTCCTGATCGCATAGTTTTACAGAATGCCGGCCTATAACCATCGGCAGTAAAACTTTATTTCACACTATGATGGTTAACTGTGTAATACATGGTGGAGGGATGGTTCTGTATGGATAATGGACAGTTACACCACTACAGCAGAGTAAATCTGATGACTGATGTGTCTTTTAAGGGACAATGCCAAACAGGCAGTGGTGTGTGGATTTTCGGTCGTTGTAAATAGATGGATGGAGACACCTGTGATGTATCAATATCTATCGGGAATTAAATTTCTCTAATTCTTAATTTCCTCTTTTTACTTCTTTTTCAGCTATTCCACCAAGCCCCTGGTGGCCCCCCCCCCCCCGCCCCAAACCCCTTGCTCTGTTGGGATCAACCCTGCTCAACCCCTACCTTCCCTCTTCTCCCTCCCTCCCACCCACCCAATCCTCCCTGTACTCCAACCGTCCTCCTCTGCAGTAAGATCTCCCAACCATCTCTGCCAAGCTGTCTGACATGTCAGGACCCGTGCCGAGCCGGGCCCGAGTGTACACCGAGGTCAACACTCACCGGCCCAGGGAGTACTGGGACTACGAGTCCCACGTGGTTGAGTGGGGGTAAATACCTTGGTGATCCGTACACAACATTTGCAGAATGCTGCATGATATCTCAACCCAGCTGATGTTTGGTTGTGGATTTTCTTAATTTTTTTTTGTCCTTCACAGAAATCAGGATGATTTTCAATTGGTGCGTAAACTGGGGCGTGGCAAGTACAGCGAAGTCTTTGAGGCAATCAACATCACCAATAATGAGAAGGTGGTGGTGAAGATTCTCAAGGTAAAACTATACAGAGACTGAGTCTTGGATCAAGTTAATGGTTCTGATTGAATAGTTTAATCCCGTCTGCTTAACTCTGCCTCGTCTTCTTAGCCCGTGAAGAAAAAGAAAATTAAGCGTGAGATCAAGATTTTGGAGAACCTACGCGGAGGCCCTAACATAATCTCCCTCATCGATATAGTGAAAGACCCTGTGGTGAGTATAGTATACAGAACACTTGACACTTTGGTCCCGAGTACAAAAGAGGACATATTTAAATCATAAGTTTGTGTTTTCCTGATGACATGATTTATATTTTGTAAGTAGAAACTTATGTTGGGGTTCTGAAGTATCATTACTGTACCAATAGCGTGGGGAGCCCACCGCCTGTGCAAGGTTATCGTTTTTACTTGGGAAGTATGTGTCTGTAAGTACTCAACCAGCTGTAGCTGAACGTTAGATACATGTATGATGTTAGACAGCCTGCTCCTATGTTGTGCCAGGGCTCACTTTAAAGAATGGAAGAATAACGCACTGTTGGAATATTGTGATGCAGGAGTGCCACCATAATCATTTAAAATCTTTTGTTTCCGATTTGACTTAATTTGTTTTTGTGCTGAATTTTAAGCCAACTTATTCCTGATTGTATGATCCAGTTTACGTCACACAGTTATGATTGTCAAGCATTTGTCCCAGGCACTCTGAAAGCAGAGGATGTGAAGTGGCACCCTTTGTGCTTTCCCATTTGTGTGTCATGAAACATGAAGAGTAGGCAAATTAGATCGACGGATTAAAATAACGCAATTTTCACACTTGAGGGGACAACTGTTCTTTGTATTTAATGTTGCCTGAAGTTTCAATAGATCAATGACAAGGAGACGTGTGGAAGAGGAGAGAGAGAACTCCAGAACACCTGTATCCACAGCGTTTTCTGCTATCTACCTCATTCACTTGTGCTCCGAGTTAAAACAATTTGTTGATCAACAGAAAATGAATCAACAACAAGGAAAAGGCCAAATGTTTCCTGTTTCAACTTCTCAAATATGTGGATTTGCTGCTACTATTGTAGTTTGAATATTTTTGCGATTGGACATCACATGGGCTCTGGCAACTTTTGACTTTAGAGGCTGGTTTATAGAATACACAACAATTGCTAGATAAATGATGAAAGTTGGCTGCAGCTCTAGTTCCCACTGTAAGCAACACGTAACTGTTTATGGCTGTGGTCAGCAGACTACACGGGTATATTTTAAACATTTAGTGTCAAAACACAATTCGCAAGCTAACAAGTGCTAATTGCATAGCATTGTACCCAGCATCATCAACTCCTCTTCAACTGCTCATCAATCTCTATTTTGGAGATAACTAAAATAGATGGAGAAATATGTAAGCTCTGTATGACTGATCAATGGTGAAGATGGTGAGCCCATTCACAAGATCCAATAAGAGAAACGGGACTTTCTGAAACGTTAGTGACAGTCAACAGCTGTGTTCTGTTGACTGTCCACATGCTGGTGGAGTTTCCATGTGTACAGTAAATGAATGGCCATCTGGAGACATCGTATTGCTTACGGTGTGGCTGTGTGGTTAGCTTGTATCAGTGCCATAGCTTGTTACAGTGCTTCAGTCAGATGGTGAGTTTAAGTAGTCCCGGTGGTACATATTGTTGGTTGAGACTGCAGCGCATTAAATACACAAAGTATTGTCTTGCTTCTTTCAGTCCCGGACGCCCGCCTTGGTCTTTGAGCATGTTAACAACACAGACTTCAAGGTAGGTAACCATTTGTTCACTCTATAAGATGTCGTCGTGTAAGATCATGGAAACCTCCTTTCTTGGCATACTCGTTGTTTTCCTGTACACGTGTGTGTATGTGATGGAGGAACATGAAAGTCCAGTGCTATGTCTTCGGTGCCAGAAAGTCAACCATCATCTGGTTCTATCCTCAATCTCTGGCACAGCTCCATGACGTGACTGATGTATGACTGTGTGGCCTCTTTTACTGTAACACAATACCATACAAAGCCAGTGACATTGCTTTTGTCTCTAGCAACTGTACCAGACCCTGACAGACTACGACATCCGGCTCTACATGTACGAGATCCTCAAGGTGAGTCCTCCTCGGTTCTGCTCGTAATGTTTAACCTCTAAAAGTCATGAGGGTGGTGAAGCATCCTGTCCTTAAACCAGACCGTCTGTCCTGACTTCATTTTTTTCCGAACTTGCTAAACGAATAAAAAAAAAAAATGGAGCGCTTCTTAATCAGACCTGTGACTGCGAGACTGCGGTCAACTCAGCAGACACTTAAATTCTAGTGCACCTATATGCTGACATTCACGGTAAACTCATTCAAACGGCGCAGATCGGGAGCGAGCGAAGGACTTTGAAAGTTAACGGAAAGATTAACGTGAGACAACATCCGGTTTCTTCAGACAAACATCCGGTTTTCAGAATAAGATGCCAACAAAGTATACATATTGCATAATGGAAATTGGATTAAATGAATTATATTCACATTAAGTATAAAACATGCTACCTGCATCTCGTGAGTTAAAGGGAAAATACACCTAAATTGTGCGTAAAGTGTCTTTATTCTTTGATTTGATGGTTGCTAATGAATAATACCTGACTGACAGTCTTAAGATAAGCAAAAACTATGAACTAAATTTATACCTTCAAATGGCACATTCTTTAAACTTTTAAGGTGCTATAAAAATGTTTTTCTCAAAAATTCCACACAATGACTAATGCATATGTTCAGGACAAAAATGGGTAATATCACAATATTTGAGGTGCTACAAAAATATCTTTCTCAATAATTCCATACAATGACTGATGTATATGTAATCAAGGCATCGTTGACATAATAATTGTTAATAGTTGTTTAAAAAATGTAATAATAACCACAAAGAAATAAGAATAAAATTGAATATGATCTAAGAAAACACTTTGAATCTGTAGACTACTGCCTAATAGTCTTATTATTGCCATTTGATGACAATTGCTCATATACTGTAAGCCTAAATAAGTATATTTATTATTTTGAACAAAGGTTAAATGTTATTTCACAAGTTTCAAAAAGTGCCCCCACTTTTTTGAAAATGCCCCTGGATTTAAGTCAGTGGGGGCAAAAATTGCCCCCAAACAAATATGTAAATTTCCTACCCTGGCCTGGGAACTTCTACAGCACCAAGTCTGTTTAGGCCATCAACATTGTGTGTGTTGACGAGTAGGCACCATCTTCTTGTAGTGGTGTAACGGATCGTTGTTGATCGGTGATCCGTACGGATCCCCCCTCTGGGTTTAACACGCATGTGAACCGCAGATTAATTACACAGTTTAACGTTAACCATCACAGTGTGAAAGAAAGATTTACTGACATCGTTATCTGACAATATTCAGTAAAATATGTGATCAGGATGTGATTTATGCTTTTCTAGTCTCTGATCTGTGATGATGTTACATTGCAAACAACCAGTCTGTTTAAATCAACAGAACGGAAGTTCACTTCAGTTATATTATGATGCGTTCAGGCTCTGCTCAGTGAACATGAGTATTGGGCGAAGGTAAATTAAAACGCTATCATGATGTGTTCACATGTGATCTCGTAAAATGTAGTTTTAGTGAAAAACTTTATTAAATCCAGATGTTTGAAGATGTTTTCACATGAATATAAAATAGATATTAAAGATGAATTATGAGCTGTTTAACTTCCTAAAACTATCTCTAAGCATCTTATGAATGATGCGTCATTAAAACTACTGACAAGATTCAATACAAATCAATACAAATACAAATTTTCCTAATCATTTGAATTGTATGTTTTTATGAAGAAAAAACACTATAAATTCCCTTAACAAAGTAAAAGGATAACATTTAGTATTTTTGATGATTTACAGACTTCTGAGTCGTTAAAATGATTTGTGAGTCTTGTAGACCGGCTGTATAATCAAACACAGGGATCTGTATCTGACAATATGGATCATCAATGATCGGTAATTAGTATCAGTGGTTATATTTGCTCTCTTTATCTTCTGTGCTGATCCGATTGGAACTGAGTTTTCTGATCCGTTGCACCACCATCTTCTTGTAATCTGTTGCTGTTTTGGGAATTACTTGAAAGAAAAGCAACAGTGTGACCAATGGATTGTTTGTAGGCCCTGGACTACTGCCACAGCATGGGGATCATGCACAGAGATGTGAAGCCACATAACGTGATGATTGATCATGAGCACCGCAAGGTGAGTAATTTCAGGGCACTTTCACACCTCTGTAGTTTAATCCGAAACAAAATGACTGGGTCTGTCTAAGTTATTTAATTGAATTAGTTTTAACCCTACTAATTTTTGTAATGCATTAATGTATGAATTGCCCTTTAAGAGCCACCAACATATCGAATGTACACAACTTGTATGAAGACCAGAAAGCTAAGCTAGCGGGGGGGTTGGACTGACGGACAAAGACGATTGTGCTCACTCGTCACCACTGGACTCCCCTCAGAGATCACTTACCTCGGGGAGACAGCGTGTTACTTTGACCAGCACTGGGAACTTCGGACTGTTGACAGAAGAGAGGCATTCTGCGCTGAGCACTTCATGCAAGAAGCTGATCAGTGGAATTTAACTAAGGCTGCAACGACTAGCTCGAAGCATCATTCATAACTTTGACATACGATAGTCCACCTTCTCTCTCTCAGCCGAGCCCTGGTCCTACAGAAAGAGGAGATAAAGATCAGAATGAAATTGAACCATGGGCTGCTTTGTTTAGAGTGTGAGAGGGTTTTTTTTTTTTTTTTTTGGATGGTTTGTACTTTTTGACAAATCCCAGGAAGTTGTGGAAGGCTAGCGTCATGTTATAGGAGTAAGGTAGCTCATTGTGTCGTGTAGGCATAGTGAGTGTGTGGACGAGAGAGACGGTGGCTCAGAGTGCAGGTATGTCACGTAGAGTCCTTTTTTTTTTTTTTTTTCTTTTTTTTTTTTTGGCTCTTCATGTGGAGTTCTTAGTGCGCTTGTAAAATTGCAATGTGAAAGCAAACCCGCGACCCTTGGGTCAGTTGCGTAAAGGCTCTAAGTCAGTCAATCCATCCTTAGAAAAACTTATGTTTATTGCTGCTGTGTAGCTTTTTATTTGGCTCTTACATCTCTACTTTTCTTTTTCACCATTCTCTAGTTGGACTCATTAATTGAATTACAATAATGTCTGACAAATGAGTAAAAAAAAAAGTCTCCTTCATTTTCTTGTGTTGAACACTAATACGTTGCCTGTCTGTAGCTGCTAACTGCTTCATTTGTACGTCTGCAGTTGCGTCTTATTGACTGGGGTCTGGCCGAGTTCTACCACCCAGGACAGGAGTACAACGTCAGAGTCGCCTCCCGCTACTTCAAAGGACCCGAGCTCCTGGTGGACTATCAGGTACAGCTGTGGGCTAGTATGCTTTAGGTGGAGTTGACATGTTGTATGCCTCTAATGGGAGAAACAAACCTACTGCTGACCTTCATTTATTGGTGTTTTTGTATGCATCTAAAAAGGTTATCCACAACACACCACTGAGAAATATAATTATATTCAGAGACCATATTTTGATGGGATTACACCAGCCTGCAAAGCCAAATGAGGCCAGGGGCGTAGAGTAGGGGAGCTGATGGCCCCTTCCTCACTTCCTATCCCCTACTTCTAGCGACCTTGCTTTTACCACACCCAATTTCCAGCTTGGCCTTCATTTTAAACTCAATTCCACATCTGTAAAGTTTTCTGACTGCATGTTCCACAGTTGTGACGCAATAATGGTGATGATGTTATACAGTTAATTCTTGCAGTCTGAGTGGATTGGATGTTACTTGATGGATGATAATGTTGTGTTAGAAACCATCTGAACTCTGCATTAACAACATGCAACATGTATTTGTGATTGGTTCTCTACCGGGGCACCTATTGTTTTAATATTTTGTTATGATAATCTGGCAGCCTTGGTAAAACTATGGCAGCATACCACAGACAGCTGTGTGTTGGGGAAACACTGGATTTAATGGATCTTGGTTATAAGCTGCAGTTGCAGGCTCAAACAGGGTACATGCTTGTTTCTAATAGCCAAAGAGGAACAGCATGTGTGGTTCTCATTTAAACAGTGTTTAACAATGCTTAACAGTGCTCATTTAAACAGTGTTTGGTTGGATTCCACGGAGTTACAACTCATTGAAATGTTGGTGTGTCTGCTTTAATGCTGCCCGTGCTCTGAGACCTGTACCGTGTGTTGCAGATGTACGATTACAGTCTGGACATGTGGAGCTTGGGCTGTATGTTGGCCAGCATGATCTTCAGGAAGGAGCCCTTTTTCCATGGACATGACAACTATGACCAGGTAAATACTAAGGAGGAATTTTCTCCATGATTATTGTGATGGCTTAAAACAACAACAACACTGCATCGACATGAATTGCATTTCTGCCCACAGATCTTGCGAGAGTGGTGACTGCCCAGTCTTCTCTGTAACTGACTGGGTTCAATGTAGATTTGTGTCTGAAAGGTTGAAAGTATCTCGGTCCTTGTTTGTGTTCTTGTAGTTGGTGAGAATAGCCAAGGTCCTGGGGACTGAAGACCTCTACGACTACATCGACAAGTACAATATTGAGCTGGAGCCTCGCTTCAACGACATTCTGGGAAGGTGAGAGATGACGGTGTGTTTTGTAACTAATGCTAGCACTCTGCTAGGACAGAAACAACTGCACACCATCGACCGTGAGTCTAAAACCAGGGGTGGGGAAACAATTTTATACACCAATCTTTAATTATATAAACTATTAATTAGGGATGTCGGGATTAACCCATTTGGCCATAACTACGGTTATGCAAGTCACAGTTTGATGATCATAAGAAGTGAAGAAGCTACGTTATCTATGGTGTCCTGATTCCAGCATTGAGACTTGTTTGTGTGGTGAAATCACCTCTCACGTTACACTGTGTGCCGGTTGGATTTGTGTTTGAGAGTATTGCCACTCATCTGAAGCGTGTCTGTAAACATTTCAACACTTCAGCCTTATATCTGCCAAAAATGGCCATTTAATAATGATATGAGATCTGCAGACCAGCGTGGAGGCTTTCTAGTCGCTGTCCTGATAAAGAAACACGTGAACAATAAATCTGTTTAAATCAGCAGCAGGAGAACTAGAGCCATATGGAGGTTACATTGCAATACGTTGTGGTGCGTTCAAGCTCCATTTAGTAAATATGAGTATTAGACGAAACTAAATAATATAATTAGTTACCATGATGTGTTTAAAATGTAATCTTGTAAAATGTAGAGAACCTTGTCTAACTCCAGTTGTTTTCAAAGCAACATACACTAGATATTAGAGGGAATAATGTTAACTTCCGAGCACTCGCTCTAAACATAAAAATCATCATTAAAATTACTCTTTTGATTTTTTTATCAATAAAATTACAATCTTTTATTTTTTGATCATTTGAATTGTTTTTATGCAAATAACCACTATAGATGACTTAAAGTAAATTAGTTGATGATGATAATAAATATGAAACTGTATCTTATTAGATAAAACAGATGCTGACAAACTGCATAATTTGCAGCTGAAAAAAGGTAATAAATCGCAATGTTTGCTATTTCAATACTCAGCATATTGCAAACTGTGACAAGTGAACTGTGAAAGTATTGTGATCAAATCGCACCATGGGGCCCACCCCGACCTAAAACGGTTCCAAATGCAACATCTGGAGTTTATCCCATGCTTCCATCATTTCTCTCTTCATTACAACGCTCCGTCTGTGTCCACCTTCTTCAGTGTGAATTGACGTCAGAATGAAGTGTGTTAATCTGTCTTTTGCCTCCAGGCATTCTCGTAAGCGGTGGGAGCGGTTTGTCCACAGTGAGAACCAGCACCTGGTCAGCCCCGAGGCGCTGGACTTCCTGGACAAGCTGCTGCGCTACGACCACCAGGTGCGGCTGACTGCCCGCGAGGCCATGGATCACCCGTACTTCTGTAAGCCCATTGACAGCCACTATTTACAAGGCTGAATTCACAATCTATCATATCAATGAGACAATAAGTTCTTTCTTTATTTGTTGTTGTTCCCGCAGTCCCCATCGTGAAAGATCAGTCTCGTGTGGCCGGAGCCAACCTGCCCGGTGGGAACACAGCTGTCAGCTCAGCCAACATGATCACTGGTGAGAAGACACGCCCAGAAATATAGAGAGAACATTTATGGCCACATCACCCCCTTACATATGTCTCTGCTGTCGTACTTCAGATGTCATCCCGTATCCTCAGAAGTCCTTATGTCATTACTTTATTCTACCAAGTGCAGATCTTTTAAGGACATGGGGAAAGTAATCAGACAGGTTTGAGTATTGAGTAAACGAAAGCCACCGTTTAAGTTATTGTTTTAAACATCTGGCGTCTTGCAGCGCTGCTTCGTGGTTCAACTTTCATCACGCACACTACCACGGATAAATTACTGTCAATTTCGGTCACATCTGCGTTTGTCTTAATGCAAAGTAAGTGTAATTAGAGTTCCACAGGTTTAAAACTAATGTGCTTGTAGCTTTAAAAGCTGTGGGCACCAGTTTTGCTGCATTCTCAGGTCTCAGCCAGTTGGAATGACGACACACACGAGGTGCAGGCTGTATTCCTCTAAAGTCAAATCAGAGTCAAACTCAACTCTAATAAGAGCTACACTACTTTAATGCAAGACTGCAAGACTCGTGTTTTTAATGTCTTCGGTCATCATCTGTGGAAACATCACATCTCCACAAAGACATGAGAAGTGTGCGTCCCATAGTTCAGACCCTAGTGCACCACACAATCTCTTTCACAGCCGTCGCTGGACAGTAGAGGAGGTTGTACCAACATCTGGTTCAGAAGTAGCTTTCAGAGCGAGAGCTGAGAGCATCGAGCAGCCAACAGAAACCCTGTGCGTTTCCATCAGCACTGTCGTTCCCTCGGTTAGTTTAAGAGTCATTTCCATTCATGGAACGTGAGGACGATGTGTCACAGTAGCCTGCCTGAGCTTACTCAATGTAATGAAATACCGTGAACAAATGCTTTCTATTTGAAATTGTGCTATTTTATATCTGCTGCCATCCATTGGAACGTACCCAAAGAGGACGCATCCCATAATACTCTTTAAATGATGCATCCATTTCATCCCACAGTGTTTACATAGAGCTGTTTTGTTCTGTATCCTGTTTATCTCTCTAAAGGGTTCTTCTTTATCTCCAGCTGCAGTTTCTCCAACATTTGAGTGTTGTTTCTATCCTGAGCTCCACTCAGCGGTGCTTTCATCCCATTAGAGCCTGTAACGGCTATTCTATTAATCAATCTATCGGCTATTTCAGCTACATCTTCCTCCAAAACAAGCTCATTGACTGTTTAATGTAAGTTCATTTTATTGTATAATGCAGCACAAGATGAAATGTAAACACATGTTTACATATTAAAGTGCAAAACTGTAGGTTGATGTAAAAGATATGCTCCCCCATATTCTTACATTATACATGGTGTCATATAAAATGATTCTGTAGCGGGGGCATTATTAAAGAGGGCATATTGGTCAATGAAATATACAATAAAGTATCAAAATATATGCTGCCTAGGGCTGTCAACAAATATACTATATGCAAATAGTAAGAGGAAAATTAATATTTGATTGATTTATTGAAAATGTAATGTTAAATCAAGCCGAAGGAGTAATTTAACAAGAACTAACAGAACCACAGAGAGTAACAGATTAGACTTGAGACGTTAAAGTTGTACTTGCTATCTTCCACACTCATTTAATATTGTGATTTACTGGAAATGATCTACAATATAGCCAACAGCAAGTAGGAAGCCGGTGTCCCTCCAGCCAGCTGCCCCCTTAGTTAGGTTTTATAGAGAACTCCTCATTCCAATCAGCCGGTCTTTTTCCATTGTAGCGAGTGACCGAAATAAATAGAAAAAGGCGTCCGACAAACGCCCGACTTATCGCGACCTCAACCATGAATGTCAGTCAAGGCAGTGAAGCCATACAGCAGTGACGGTGGTGCTTTGTTGTGTAGGTCAGATGTGATTGTTGTACATTCAAGGTAAAGAGTCGTTGACTGTCTGAAGTGCAGAACTCATCAACTATATTGATGTGACTTAAATTGGGTGGGTTAGAGTCAGTGTCTTCACAATTCTTGGCTACCAGCCCTAGTTAACCCCCCCCCCCCCCCCCCATCCCGGCAGTCATGTGACCTGTGTTTCTAACCCCCCCTCAGGTATCTCTGCCTTGCCAGCCTCCACTGCCCTGGGCCCTCTCTCTGGCTCTCCGGTCCTATCTGCTGCCACCAACGTCCTGAGCCCCCCGGTGCCCGCCGCCCCGCAGTGACGCCCCCCTCTTCCGCCTCTGGGCAGATGCTAGACGGGGTGCCGCTCTGCCAGCCCTCACTACATCCAACCTAACTTCGGTGTGACTTCGTCCCCTCCCGCCGAAGGACGCCGCCGTCTTAAGAAAAGAACGATTTATCCCTCTGCTCCTTTTCTTCCTCAAATGAACTCGTTAGCCTGACATCTGGAATGAATGTTCTGTGTAGTTTGAAATATACAGGTATTCCTTTCATTATTTCCCATAAGCCGTAGTGACTACAAAAGGGTGTGTGTGTGAGTCTGAGAGCGAGTGTCACCCCGGTGTGTTTTTTAGTTTGGACTGAAGGCAGTGGTCAATAAGTACATCAGCAGAAGGCGAAAGAAAGACGTTGGCTGTGAGGACAAAAAGGAGCTCCTCCTGTATAGTTTACTGCTGCAGCACTTAATCAGCCTCCTCACACGAGTCTCAGCACTCCAGATTACAGCATTTTGGAAGTGTTTGGTGCTGTTCAGTGCACCGGGTGTATGTGAACACAATGACACTTGAACACTTTCTCTGCCCGAGTAGTTCTGTCTTGCCTTTTTCTTACCAAACCAGATCACCAGTCTTCTTTTTGATATGCGATTCTCCGTCATGAGTTTTTGTTTTGTGTCGAAATGTCCCGGACTGCTGGATACAGGTTTGCCACCACCGAGTGGTTTCGATCAGCTCTAGTGTCGTACTCCGATCTCTTTAAGGAGCCAGGTAAGGTTCATTCAGGTTCTCAAAGAGATGGTTTCTCAAACGTGCTGCTCTCCACTTCCTTGAATTACTTCAAGTGGCTTTTCTTGAATGACTTCAAGACATAACCAAAGTTTACTCAGTCGGTTGGAAGACGAGACTGACCAAACCTAGTTTTGTTTTGTGGGATTTACTCGTACTGTAATGCAGGTTGACGATGTGGTTCTAGTATTTGTTAGATGAAATGTGATCCAATGATCACGTGCAGGTGACTGAAGTGCTGTCAGAGTTAAGCTCTGTGATGAGTGAGACGCTCTGGACCGGCTTTCAGCGACACCGAGTGTACCTGGAGGTCAGTTGTTAAATAGCACTTGAAGGGTAGAGTTCTCCGTGTTTTAGTGCCAGAGTTTGAAAGTGTAAGTTTTAGACCCTGATCTGTACCTAACCATCTTTTTCATTATTTCTTTTCCAAACCTGCGAAATGCAAATAAATCGGAACACGTATACATTGAACCGAGAATGGAGCATTTTGAGTCCCTACATCACTGTATATATTTTTATGTCCTTCTGTAGAAGACTAGTATTTGAGAAATATTCGTGTAAATAAACGTGTTTTATTTATCAGGAACATCTGACTGATTCATGTCTCACGTTCACACAGACCACTTTCACCCTCACACGGCTTTGCAATCAATCAATGCTACATTTTAACGGATAAGTTCTGTTTTTTTTCCCCCATTATTTAGTGTCAAACGTCCGTGGTTATTATGGGTGCTTTCATTACTCCTGTTGGTACTTGATGTGAAGGTATCCCTTCAGAATGTGACACTAATTACAGTTACAGACTCTAAACCTTAGTGTGAGTGTGAATGGTTGTATGTGTCAGTTTGTGGAAACCACTGCACCATAAGACTGGTCGGAGCCACTTCCAAATTAGTCTTTTAGTACACAACGATGTCTGCGTTTAAAGACTGCGTCTTTGCACAAAACGAGGACTAAACATTTTAGCCACAATTTATTTTATTTATTTTTTTACATTGAACGCACATTGGGAAGGATTACTTTGTGGCCAGTATGGCCATGAGGAATACATATGAAGACCAATGACTAAATGTACAATTCATTGATATCAATGTATTGAGATCGACTTGGAAAAAATCTGAATGAGATAAAGGTAAAACTGTAAATGTTACAATCAAGTTAAGAACATGTTGTAGACTGCTGCAGACCACTTGATGCACAGCAGCTTTTAGTTTTCTGGCTGTAGAATCTAAATTTAAAAAAAAAAAAAAAAAAAAAAATTCCTTGTTAAAATGTAAATGAACATACCCAAAATATCATTTACAAAAGTCACGTCACACAGAATGCACTTTGTTAGCGTGTTTCACAAAGATACCACGTGTTCCAGGTGCAACAGGAAGGCCTAGCCTGGTCTAAAGCCTACATGGTGTCTATGCCTGTCAGTACTGTAATATCTTATAATAAATCACCCCGAGGTGCTGACTTGACAGTGCACTCTCTGGTACTGTGGGGAAGGGTTTCTCCAGCTCTTTATGCAGCAGCACTCCTCACCTTGGTAAAACCTGCAAAACAAGACCAAAGAGACACATGAGTGTCTCATGCTAAGTGAGAAACGTGGTTGAGTATTTAGTGAAGACAAATATAGATCCTACTTGTTTAAACGCAGCTCCTTGTCTATCTCCTCCAGACTCTTCCCTTTGGTCTCTGGTAGCATGAAGTAAAAGAAAAGCCCAGCGGCCACAGCGGTCATCCCATACAGGAGGAATATCCCCGACAGACCGATTGCATCTGTTGATCGAAAGCACAGTTCACTCTCTGCTGGCCATCATTTCAATACGTCACTAAAGGGAAATGTGACCATCGTTTGATGTAAGAACGGATATCAATTCAGCAATGAACCCTTCTCTGCAGTTATTTTATAATCTTAGACTGTTAAATGCTGAAGCTAGAGTTGGTTCTTCATAATTAATACAATATTTATTAAAATTCTGATTACATCCCAACAGCAATCAATGAATCAAATGCTCAGACAGAAAAAGAAAACAATCTGACGTCTGTGGCTGTCACAGGACTGCAATAAGCTCTGTGTCTGCTGTGTTTAATGAGGCAAGTTCGCCATATACTACCTAAAAGTATTTGGTGTTTTATCTTAACATACAAGACTGAGTTTAAAGTTCAGAGTCACTGGGACCTCTACACTGCAAACATATTGAGTTGTTCATGAAATCAATCACTTTGTGGCTTTTTTCCAGTTCCTTTTTTATTTCTCACTCCTTTCCTTACATGGAATGCTAATGGAACGGAACCACCGTTGCTTTTATTATTTCCACCTGCACTTTCCCCACTGTGACAAGTCAAAATGTCCACCGTGAAAATGGTGTATGGGAACTCACCGATACAATTTAAGAAAGTGAATGTGACCAACAGGTTGGCAGCCCAGTTGAAGCAGTTGGTGAATGCGAATGCCCTTCCTCTGATAGCAGCTGGAAATATTTCACTCAGGAGAAGCCAGGTCACTGGTCCAAGACAAAAGAAAGTGCTTAACTTCAGAGCTCTAATAAAACACTCGACAGGCTCCATGTTGGATAAAGTTATTTTTAAAGACGGTAAAGCTACATTAGGCATCTTTGCATCTAAGCAGATTGAAAATGCGCATCAATTTAACCATGTATTTAATCAATCTTGCCTCATGAAGCTTTAAATGCACAAAAAACGCCTTGTTTTGAGAGAATATACCAACTTGGTCCAAATCCAACGGAGTATGCACCGACAACAGCCATCATACACACGAGAATGATCCAGTTCGCAACCGTGCCATGGGCGCTCGGAGGAGGTGCCAGAGGATTGTCCGGTTGTTTCTGTCCAACTTCATTGAGAACTACATCTTCATCTTGTGTGTTGTTATCGAGGAGTCTTTGTCTCTCGTGTAAAGACGCCTCAAAAACGGATCGATTACCAACAGTTAGATGAGGCAGGTTGGTTCTGTTAACGTTGAAGTCCTCAGAATCACAAGGCCTCCTGGCATTCATCGATGAACGTCCACTGAGGAGTCCGATGGTTATCAGACACAGCGCCATAACAGAGCATCCACTGATGAGCAGGGGCCTCCGCCCCACCCGGTCCGAAAACACCATGGAGGTCAGAGTAGCGACCACTTTGACGAACCCCAAGCCCACAGACGCCAGCACCGCCGAGGCATTGCTGTGAAACCCCACAGAGTGGAAGATGGTGGAGGCGTACAGGAGGACATTCGGCTGGCCTGTGAACTGCTGAAAGAGCACCAGTCCGAGGCCGATGACGGTCCGAGTCCTCATGTTGTCTTTGCGCTGGAAAAGGTCCATACTGTTGAACTGAACCTTCTTGCTTTCCATGCTGGAGCCGACTTTTGAGTCATCTGCTTCGACAGTATTCATCAGGCTGCTTTCAGTTTGAAAACAATAACTTGGACTTGAAGATTCCTTCGTGCTGGATGGGAGGAACCAGATAGAGACCAACTGAATCATAGTCGGTACTATGGCTAATCCAAACATCCACTTCCACCCTCTTTTAGAGTCGGCCAGGATGTAGTTCATGGCGTAGGCTGCCAGGATGCCCACGGTGATCCCGGCTTCATACAGCGTTACCAGGAAGCCCCTGCGATCCGGGGTAACTATCTCGGACACAAAGATGCAGCAGGACATGGAGGATATACACATGGCGAAGCCCACCGTCATCCTGCCCACCACCAGTGCCGAGTAGGAGCCGATGAGCAGAACCAGGCTGCCGGTGAGGATCAACACGTTGCCGAGGAGGATGGAGTTCCTGCGGCCCCGGTGGTCGATCAAGCAGCCGCCCACGATGGAGGCGAGCAGAGTTCCTATCAACAGAGAGCTGACCAGAGCCTCCTGCTGGACACACGAGAGTCCGAACTCGGCCTTGAGCTGCAGCAGAGCGCCTGAGATGATGCCCAACTCATAACCAAAGACCAGGCCGCCCAGAGTGGACACCACGCTGGCCAACAGGAGGATGGAGCTACCTATGGTGAAGGAGAACAGTCAGAGGATTTACTCTGAGCAAAATATGTACATTTACACACAAAAATAATCTCGAGGGTAAATGTATGAATTTGATGTTAATCTTTCAACTTCATGAGGTTTCTGTTAGATCATGTAGATTGATTCGCTGTGAGACTGTGAAATCCGCTGTCAAGGCTACAGACAGATCTGAATTGCCATTAGATGCAGTACCACTAATGGCCACTAGATACCGACTCCAAAAGACAGCAGCTCCATAAGTATCCATTAAAACAAAGAAATACAAAGTCAATCTTCTTGTTTCCTTTCAGGTAGCAGATTCGTCTTCTTAGTGTCCATTTAAAAGATGTTGAGTTTCATAATGGTTGAGTGAGGTACATTTTAGAGCTTCATTAATCTCTCCAGATCATAGAATGTATATGCTCCAGATAGCAGCAAGACTATAGGTCATATCTTCAAAATGTGCCTTCAGGAAGCTATGGATGATGTCATAAATGGTTGAGCAGTGGTTTCCACTTTGGGGGGCCAAGGAAGAAAAATCCTATGAAGGTGTGCTGTGGCTTTTATAAATTTGTGTACCACTGCGATGGAGCCATGTTTTTGCGACTGTGTTTTACGGCCATTTTTTACTTTAAAATCTTCAAAATTGTGAGTTTCTTCTTTTAGATTCACCACTTTAATCTCTGAGAATATCCAAAAAAAAAATCTTTTAAATTTACGACTTTCACTTCTAAAATTCGGAGTTTTATCTCAGAATATACCCTCTCTCCCTGGCTCCGTAATTTAAGATTTTTTACCTTCATTAGCCCTAAATATGCAGTTTTATATTTTTCTACAGTCTATAAGTGTAAAAGTGTGACTATGTAGCATCACACTGATCCGGATTAAACTTTAAGAATGAATGTTGCTGGTGAGATTAGAACAGATTCAGCCAGCATGCAAACCTCTGAAGCAGGAAGCTTTTGTTCACACAGTACAAGCAGCACAAGGTGCTCAGGTACAACAAAACAAAAATCCGGCAACATTTTTGTTCCATATTGTTCACGGTTCTTTACAGATAAATAAAGTTAAGTTGTTGCAGTCTGTAGATTTCCAGTGTTTTCATTAGTTTACAGTTCGTATTTATTTGAGTGAGTTCCAAGTGAATGATCATCGTTCATCCCTCCAACTGCTCTGCAGCTGCCGCTCACATTAACCTGAGAGTCTTTCATGTGCACTATCTTTTGACACAAATGCAAATGAGAGCTGCTGAATTTCATTAAAGAGTACTCTGTGTCCCATTTATATGAGGAAAGATGAAGCTCATACCGACTGCAGATACAGTTAAGTTTCACATTTAATTGGTTGATTTGAATAGTTTGGTAATTTTGAATGACCCTTGATGGTCTAAATGTAGCTTCAACTATCAGCAGCTGCGATACTCAAACAGTGTATCACAGGTCACACAGGTCCCTACAATGCATCTGTTACATTTTGCTTGTCTTTACACCAGAGCAGAACTAAACACGCTGCAGGGCAGTCCGTACAGAACGGCATTACTTTGTAAAACCACTCACCCATTGTTGTTGTCCTGTTACCTTCACATTTCAGTCAGCCTCTGCATGTCTGCGTTCATCTCTCGGAGGAATTCCGCTGTGAAATATAAGCAAAACTTAATATGATAATACAAATTGTAATAATATTACGGACAATCTCCGGGTCCTGCAGAGCCCTCCTGGTCTGGCACCTGTCTCGTGTCTTGCTGCTCATATAGACTGTTGCAGCCCCGTCGCCATGACAACCCTCTTGTTGATTGCCATGATTTCATTAGGGGGTCCATTCGAGATTGGCTCAACAGAACTACACGGCTGTCTCACTCCCTTTTTAGTCTCATATCAACATGTCCTGCAGCAGCGGGGACGAGGTGTGTGAATGTGCACAACATCTGAAGAACTCTTGTTCCAAATGGACTGAGAGACGGTTCTGGTTCGGTGCTGACTGGACTTTTTTGATATATTATTTGATATTTGATACTCAAAACAACATGTGGACGAATACAGAAAATCCCCCAAGTGTCACTGTAGATGTTCCCCATCAGGTATATAAATATACATATAAATTGGGTTTGAGCTGAAAAGGGGTGTTTTGGGGGTTCAGTTACTCTTGAAGTTTAAGGAAGTATTATCACCAAAAATATACTTCAAAGTATTAAAGGCAAAAGTAATTATGCAGCAGAATGGACCCTACAGACATTAGATTGTTCATCACTGCAGTATTTTATACTATTTCACTTTACTTTACATACTGCTGGAAAGTTTCATATAGCAACCCATCATAACGTCTGAGCTTTATGGAGACGCTTTATCTGCAAATTATTCAGTAACTGTTGTTGTATAAAAGAAGTGCAGTATGAAGTAGTTCCTCAGTCAAAACTGTTGTGGAGTAGAAGTATAAAGTGGCATTCAATGGAAATAAAAAGTAAAGTAGCTATATTGAGTAAATATACTTAGTTACATTCCGTCGCGGCCCTGAAGAGAATAAATAGACAGAGAGTCTCCGGTATTAAGAGTCCTGTGTGTTACTGCGCTGATAGCTCAGCTGTGGACAACAGGCCCGTTATCCGTCCACTGCTTTTCCGTGCAGGACTTGAAGCAGTTGTTCAACGGGACAGACGGACGTAACAGTCTGCTGCATGGCTGCGTTGAGCTCAGGAGACACTTTAGTCTGGCGAGGACTGCTATATTGTCGGCTATGAGACATTCCGGGAGGAGACATGGACTCACCGTGAGCAGCAGAGCGGGTAGTTAAAGAGATGCTCCTGGAGAAAAACTTGCGTCCCTTCAGGAAGTCGGAGCGACGTGGCAGCGGTGTCAAGTTACAGGAGAGGAACTTCTGACTGTCCCAGGACGGAGAGCAGCAGAGAGACTCAGAGGACCGCATCATGTCATTATAGCTGGTCTCATATAATAATGATATCATATATGAATGAAGAAATAAGCAGTTCGTGTGTTTCAAAACTGACCACAATTTGTAAATGAATACATTTACTGAAGGATTCCACAGTTTTGAGGTAGGCTACGGAATACCATTTCATTTAATGTAAAAAAAGAAGAAGATAAATACAGAAATAAATACGTCTATGAAATACATTTGGAAGTCAACAAATGAGGCAATACATATATAAATAAAAGTAAATATGAGCCAATATAGATGAGCGCACTCGCCAGTTAGTTCTTGTGCTTCGGTCTGAATCTGAGATAACCACGCCCACTTCATTTCAATGTACGATGGAAATAAAAATATCTGTGGAATAAATGTGGAATTATGAAATAAAAAATAAAGTAGTCCTTTGACAAATGTCCCTTTTGAAATAAAAATCTGTTTATTTATTGAACTATACAGACTCATTTATATTATTTGAATGTACTTTTATATTTATTGCCTCATTTATTTATTTCACAGGCATATTTATTTATTTGGTTAGTATTGGATTATTTATTTAGCTAATATTTAATTAAATACTACAGTTCTACTTGTACTTTATTTGAGTATGTTACTGTTGTGCTGCTTTATACTCCCACCACCCAACTGCATTTGATGGGGAACTATTGTTCCTTTTACTCCTTTACATTTATCTAACAGCTGTAGTTACAGTTCAGATTAAGATCACAAACATTTTACAGTAACAATTACAGTAATGTCATTTTCTGAAGTTACCAGATTATTCTGTTATTTGTCTTTTACAATTAGTCACTATGTCCACATAACTGATGATTATTTATCAAAAAATCTCAACGTGTTCATATTTTGCAAAAAAGCATTAGTACAATATCGATATAATTGGTCAAAAATATTGTATTTGATATTTTCTATATTGGCCAGCCCTACAGGTGATCAACATATCAAAAATGAGTTAATGGTTGCTTCACCTCATCCAGCTACAACATGAAAATGGTGCTTATAGTAATACCTCCGTGTTAAAAATCCAACACTAATATAACATTGAGAGGTTGCTATAAATACGTACCTTCGTGGTGACACACTTTTACAGTATTGAATGCGGGACTCTTACATGTACCACAGTATTTTCAAACGATCACTTACATTGTTGTACTTCTACTCACACTGAAGTAGAAGATCTAATCACGTCACAGTACAATTGAAAATATAAGCCCGTTTTGGCAATTCCACTACTGCTTCCATGGCGTCCTTGTCCCTCTGTCCTCTCTTTTTCTTCTAAAGTCAGGTTTGTTGATGTTCTGTTAGCCCTCAATTATTTGTCTGGTTTTGTTGTTATCCACGCTGAGTGGTGAAGCCAAAGATCATATTACACATTACGAATGATGAAGTTCATAACTGACTGAATAACTAATTAAAAATGTTCCACAGTTATATATTAGACATTTGACTCAATTTAGATGTCGTCTAGTATTGGTTATTGTCATTATTTGGGTTTAAAGCATGTACAGAAGCAGAAGTAGGGCCAACAGCAGCAGTCCTACTAAAGAGTACAACAGCAGCAGAAGTAGTCCTACTAAAGAGTACAATCGCAGCAGAAGTAGTCCTACTAAAGAGTACAATAGCAGCAGTCCTACTAAAGAGTACAACAGTAGCAGTAGTCCTACTAAAGAGTACAACAGCAGAAGCCTACTAAAGAGTACAACAGCAGCAGAAGTAGTCCTACTAAAGAGTACAATCGCAGCAGAAGTAGTCCTACTAAAGAGTACAACAGCAGCAGAAGTAGTCCTACAAAAGAGTACAATCGCAGCAGAAGTAGTCCTACTAAAGAGTACAACAGCAGCAGAAGTAGTCCTACAAAAGAGTACAACAGCAGCAGAAGTAGTCCTACAAAAGAGTACAACAGCAGCAGAAGTAGTCCTAATAAAGAGTACAATCGCAGCAGAAGTAGTCCTACTAAAGAGTACAATAGCAGCAGTCCTAGTAAAGAGTACAACAGTAGTAGATGTAGTCCTACTAAAGAGTACTACAGCAGAAGCCTACTAAAGAGTACAACAGCAGAAGCCTACTAAAGAGTACAACAGTAGCAGAAGTAGTCCTACTAAAGAGTACAACACCAGCAGAAGTAGTCCTAAAGAGTACTACAGCAGCAGTCCTACTAAAGAGTACAACAGCAGCAGAAATATTCCTACTAAAGAGTACAACAGCAGTAGTCCTACTAAAGAGTACTACAGCAGCAGAAGTAGTCCTACTACTACTACTGTAAAGAGTACAACCGTAGCAGCAGTAATAGTCTACTAATGGTATTCATAGTAGTAACAGCACTCATTTTTCAGCAGCAATATATAGTAGTAGCAGTACTATCAGTAGTGATAGTAATAACAGATGCATCTTTATTGAAATTTTTAATCTTATGTCTAAAAATAATGAGGATTATTAGTTTCTGTCTGTCTTCTTGTTTCTTCCTGGGAGGTCAGGCGTCAGAGGTCAGGGGTCAGTCAGGCTACAGAAGAGCACCTGAGCAGCAACAAGTCCTTCCTGTCCTCCTTGAGGAGAGCAGAATAAGGAGCATGTCCACAGTCCAATGTTGTCTGCCTGCATAACAAAGAGAAAGAAAAAAGAAGCCGCTCATTTCTTCTTCCCCGCTCTCTTCCCTTCTCCTTTCTTCGGTTTCCCTTTTCCTCTCAGTTTCCTGAGGCGACGCATCTCCTCCTTGAAGTCCTCATGCTCGTCTCTGAGAAGGAAGAGCAAACATTGTAACAAACATTCTCACTGGCTGCTCAGTCTTCTTGATAACCCATGTATTTTACCGGTTTTACCCTCAATATAAAGCCACTTCCTGTATCGATGTTTCACATTGAAAACTCTTCCAGCAGAGCTAAGGGCATAAATGATCAAGCAGGTCATTCTGAGTACCTGAACAGCCCCATGAACCGGAGCTTCTGGGTCATGGCGTAGTAGATCTTGTGCTGTGGGTACCAGTCGTACACCTCCTTCCTCTTGGCCATGGGAGGCTCCTGGAACAGCTGGACCACCTTCATAGACCTAGAGTCTGTCGGACGCACCACCTCCCCAAAGATCTGTGCGCTCAGTCTGGCCATGCGCAAGGCATAGCTGGACAAGCCGGCCATGACCGCTGAGCAGAGCAGAGAGAGGACTTCACCAGTGGCTTGAAGATCAAACAGAAATCATAGAGAACATGTGTCAGACTGACCGACCAACTTCATACTCCGACGTCTGCTGTTGCACAACAGATAGCAGACACAACATGAAAACTTCGAAATCCGAGTTAATATGTTTTTTGCATATTAGGATTTAAAGACCAAAAAAACCCACCTCATTTGTATTTGTATTTATTTTGGACCAACATCACTGTACTGAACCATATTTGATAGCTTTCTGATTATCAGAGAACCGTGATGATATTTGTTGTGTTAAATATTCAGCATACTTATTTTAGCAATAAAATACAAATCCTGCACAGTAGTTAGATTATCAAAGATTAAACTAAATGTGGTACAACATGTATTTGGAGGCCATGTCTTTAAAAGAAAGTAGGAAAGCAGGAGAGCAGCCAGCGTCTGGTCTCGTGCTAGCATTCTACAGCATACACGCATATTGACGGTGTTATGCATGTGTGTCCGTCCACTTCTGTTAATTACCACACTGACATAACACCGTGGGTTCATGTTAGTGATGTTTTACTCATTGTATTGAAGCCAATCTTTCTTAAAACCCTCACACAATGAGAAACTACACTTCCCTGGTGAACAGCCATGAACGAATGAATGAGTCACGTTCTTACACGGTTCTTACCTGCAGCCTGAGAGGACGTCCACGCCGTTCTTTAGTGAAACTCACTAAAGGCCGGTAAACGCAGGAACCTCTAAATGACGACTACTAGAATTCCGTTCAGTTCACTAACGTTTTGGCTCACATTCACCTTCACGCGCACCACACTGCCATCACAAGCGCTATCGCGCATGACACATTTTCCGTGGAGCTGATTGGTTAGTTGTCCTCACTTCCTATTTAATGGTAAAGTGGTATTTCTATTTCCAACACGAGCCATATTCCATAAATTGCACATGTATACATCAATAAGTCGTCATTAAAACTTAAATTAACACAGACTTTCCGTATTTTTAAGTCTGGTGTAACTTTTTTGCGATTAAGCGCTAGCAGGAAGTCCGTCGCTTTTAAGAGGTCCGTGGGTTTGACAGGTGATGCACAAAGTTCCGGTTATCCGTCGGCTGAAGTGCACTCATCGTGGAATATACAGCGATTTGAATTGTGTGTGTCAATATGTATTTTTACCTGAAAATAAAGCCACAATATAAACGGTAAGATATCATTTATCATATCATATTTAAAAATAGCAGGATACCAGGTTGTATATATTCTCCAACACAAGAAAACACTGAGAAATCTGAGAATGTAGATTTTACATGTATGAAACCCTGAATTTATCTTGAATTTGTATTGAACGTTATGAATAAAGTGACCCACAGCCATGATCTGTGAGCAATTGAAGGTTCATTAAAATTAAGAGTGAAGCAAACTAGTTTTGCAAATACATGTTAGCTCGACCCAGGTGTCTGTTTGTAGGTATTTTAGCAAGTGTTCTGTTCTATGCTGTTGATAGGAGCAGGATCAATAAGTTCATCAAGATCTCATACACAGTTGTTCTGGAAACAATTAATGGAATTGTTAAGTGGCAAATCCACAGCAATGCTTACTATTGATCATAATAATATTATTTTTGTTTTTTTCTGAAGACAAAAAAGTTAGACCCAATGATGAATGTTTTACTAATTCCAGCCAACTTCTTTATTCATAGGTCAAAAGTTTTTAAGACCCCACCTCGCTTCATGTGCTACTATAATGAAAGTCAACTCTATATTAAATCCCTGCAATTAATGAAATCCAAATATTAGAAATTATTTATTTTATCTACAGTATATTAATTAATCTATCTAATTAATCTAATCTATGGCTATTACACATTATTTTGTTATGTTTCTATTTATTTATTAATCTTAAATAAGTATCCTACTATTATTATGCTATTTGTTTTTGCTTGTGTACATGTTTTATGTCAAATTTGGTATGTGTTGAGTTTAGAGGATGTTGAATTTGTATGTGTAATGATTGCCTCATTTTTGTAATTGTGAATATGTGTGCCTCCTAAATTAAAAGTTAGGGGAATGCATAAAATTAAGCAATTTAAATGAACGTTTAGTTTACATAAATATCTGTGTACGTAGATTTAGAGCTGGTTACGGTAAAAAGCAACTAGTAAAACCTTTCTTTTTCACTTGACCGTGCCAGTGGGACATCTCCCTCTGTAGGCAGTGTGTGTTTCATTAGTGGCCGCTAGGTGGCAGCCTGTAGAAACAGAGCAGAGGAAGCAGGAGGGCTGAGGACAGCAGACAGCAGAAGAAGAGCGGAAGTAAACATGGCTCAGGAAAAGAGTATGGCGATCCCAGAGTTCCTCAGTAAAGCAGAGCTAATAAAACAAGGAGCAGAAGCTCGGGTGTACCGGGCAGAGTTCTTGGGAAAGCCGACTATTGTGAAAGAAAGGTTCCCAAAGCGTTACAGACACCCGGTGCTGGACGAGAAGCTGACCCACCGAAGGACGGTGCAGGAGGTCCGCTCCATACTGCGCTGCCGGAGAGCAGGCAAGTTCAACAACAGTCAACCCTGCTGGTCTCAACCAGTCTGGACACAATTCTATCAAGTCTAAGGTCTGAGTGGCTTTGACGAAGCGCACCATCGTTATCAAATGAGAACAGTTCAAGAAAAGAAGCTAAAGTAGCTTCAACTCAGCCAACCGGTGCTACAACAAAATATTGTTCCGTTACAAGCGAAGCTGATGGGTTGACGCAGTAATAATTGCCGGGGGAGAAGCCCTCGCAGTCTCACACACTCATCACCAGGTGACATGGTTAAGTCCCTCAGGGTTCAGGGTTTAAGGCCTTAGAGATTGAGCCACAGTCCTCTGTAGCTTCGTATCACATTGTAAATACGTTTTTTGTCTTCATGGGATTTATTGATATCGAATAACGACATCCTTAACATTTGATACCAGAAAACACAGGATTTTGTATCTTCATACAACTCTCCTTCAACTTCTCTCCTCAGGCATATCTGCCCCTGTAGTCTACTTTGTGGACTACACATCCCACTGTATTTTCTTGGAGGAAATCGCGGGTTCCTCGACTGTACGCGACCACATCGCCTCCACTTGGCAGTCTGATTGTAGTAAGGAGCTGGGGTGGCTGGCTGAGAGGGTGGGCCAGATCCTGGCCAAAATGCACGACGAGGACGTCGTCCACGGGGACCTGACCACCTCCAACATGCTGCTGAGACACCAGGAGGACGGGGAGTCCGAGCTGTTCCTCATCGACTTCGGCCTGAGCTACATCTCCGCCCTGCCGGAGGATAAGGGGGTGGACTTGTACGTGCTGGAGAAGGCCTTCCTCAGCACCCACCCGAACACAGAGACTCTGTTCGAGAGGCTGCTGAAGAGCTACGCGGTGGCGTCCAAGAAGTCCTCGTCGGTCATTAAAAAGCTGGATGAGGTCCGGTTGAGAGGGAGGAAGAGGTCGATGGTGGGCTGATGATCCGGTTGAGAGGGAGGAAGAGGTCGATGGTGGGCTGATGATCCGTGCTGTGTTCAGGGACAAGCCTCTCTGGAAATGATGTTATAATAATAAAGTTGTTATTTTGAAAATAAAAATGTAATAAATGTTTTATTTCTTTGATATAATAAAAAGATGGGCTTTTTAATGATGTTGGTTGCATTCACTTTGAACAAAGTGTCTGCTTTGACTGTAAGTTGTCGTTGGAATCTTGCACTTAAATACTTAAATATATGTTGTATATGAACACTGTTTTGGCTCATGTTTGTTAAAAGTTGTTTTGGGGTTACATTGTTTGGATGTAGAAGACAGCAGAGACCGTCAGGTTTCTACACCGAATCAAGCAGTGCCCTGATATCTGCCCTACACATCAAAGCAAAATTATATCAAAATATGTATTTATTATATAACTAGAGCCTAGAGGCTTTTGAATATAATGTTGTCATAGAAGGAAACTTCAAACAGACACCCTTTTAAAAGCACATTAAAAGCGAAATGTATAAAGTGAGGAATAATAAATATAAATATTTTTTGTGTTAATATGTAATGAAGTATGCACAAATAAACTATATCTAAAATATAATAGACACTACACACTAGACACCCAGACCTTAAAGATTGTATACAGTGTGTTGAAAATCCATTCATTACATTCATTATCTATGTAATTTGCTAAAAACCTGACAAAAAATTGAATAAGATACATCAGCATTCCAACTTCGATACCATTATTTATATCTTAGACTGACTCCATACTAAGACACCTCTTGTTGGTTTAAAACCCTCTGAGGTGTGAGCCATCTTTGGTTCGTCTGGTCTCCTTTTGTAATAATGCACGTATGACCTCAACGGCGTAATACACAGCATGTTATACAAATATCGTAGTATTGAAAGGCTTAAAACTGAAATAAAGAATGTCATAGTATAGTATGCCATAAAATGTCAAAGTATCGTTTGTCATGAATGTCATAAAATATATGATAAAAGGTATACCATAAAAATGTATCATATGCCATGAAGATGGGATGAAAAATGTCATAGTATAGTATTCCATCAAAACATAATTTAGTATCTCAAAAAAATAAAATATCTTTTAAAAAGTATTGTATAGTATGCCTTAAAAATATAGTATAGGAGGCAAAAAATATACCTTAAAAAAGTATTATATATATATATATATATATATATATATATATATATATATATATACTGTATATACTGTATGTACATATATATATATATATATATATATATATATATAAATATCATAAAGTGTCATGATATACTATGCCATAAAAAATGTCATAACAGTTTGCCAAAACGATGTCCTTAAAAAGTATTATACTAGTATGCCATAGAAATTTCATGAAAATATATCATTGTATAGTATGCCATAAAAACGTAATGAAAAATGTCTTTGTATAGTTTGCCATAAAATATCATTAAAAACATCATATCATATCATAGAATGTCATAAAATATCATAGTATAATATGTCATTCAGATGTCAGCATTCTGCGTATGGTTTGGACTATCCTACATTTATAAACCACAGTGGCTGAATGGTTAACATGTTCTGTCACTGGAATGTCCATGGTCAGATTTCAGCTGGGAGCCTTTATTGCATATAAGGCAAGTAGCTGCAACACAACTAATTACCAGCCTGAAGCTAACTCTCTTCACATTTTTCCTGTCAACTTCGGCTAAATGCCTCACATTAACACATGTGTTTTTACACCAACAGTGGCTGGTGCAACGATGTGTCAGTGATTCTACAGCACTGTTCTCCTGATCTGGAATCCTTCATTATAAACTGTGAACCATTTTACTCCCCCCGCGAGTTTGCTTCATTCATTCTGATCGGTGTCTACATGCCGCCGCTGGGTAACGTGCAGGAGGCACAGCGGACACTCGCCGATCAGATACGGTGTGTGGAGCGGACCTACCCGGACTCTCTAGTTATTGTCCTTGGGGACTTTAACAAAGGAAACCTCAGCCATGAACTACCCAAATACAGACAGTTCACTAAAAGCCCTACCAGAGAGGAGAACATTCTAGACCACTGCTACACCACAATCAGCAGGGCCTATCACGCCGTCCCCCGTGCTGCACTGGGACTCTCTGACCACGTCATGGTCCATCTGATTCCTGCTTACAGGCAGAAATTAAAGCTCTGCAAACCTGTGGTGAGGAAATTCAAGAAGTGGACCAGTGAAGCTATGGAGGACCTTCGTGCGTGTTTGGACTGTACAGACTGGGATGTATTCAGGACTGCTACCAACAGTCTGGATGAGTACACAGAGGCTGTGACTTCATATATCAGCTTCTGTGAGGACAGCTGTGTCCCATCAAGCACCAGGGTGAGTTACAACAACGACAAACCCTGGTTCACAGTAGAACTCAGAAAGCTAAGGCTGCAGAAAGATCAGGATTTTAGGAGTGGGGACAAGGACTTGTACAAAGAGTCAAAGTACAGGTTTAGCAAGGCGGTGAGAGATGCTAAACGACTGTACTCTGAGAAACTGCAACATCAGCTCTCAGCCAATGACTCTGCTTCTGTCTGGAGAGGTCTCAGACAAATTACCAACTACAAGCCAAAAACCCCCCACTCCATGAACGACCTCCGCCTGGCAGACGAGCTGAATGAGTTCTACTGCAGATTCGAAAGACAATGGGACAGTCCTGACTCCATCCCCCACAGCCCCATCAACCAGCCCCAGACCACCAGCCCCCCTCCCCCAGCTCAGCAGGGGCCCATGCCTCTGTATCACCCATCCCAGCGCCCCCCCACCCCCCTCCCCAGTGACGACTCTCTCTATTCTGGAGAGTGACGTCAACAGGCTGTTTAAAAAACAGAACCCCCGCAAAGCAGCCGGCCCAGACTTGGTCTCCCCCTCCACCCTGAAGCTTTGTGCTGATCAGCTGTCTCCGGTGTTCACAGACATCTTTAACACCTCCCTGGAGACATGCCACGTACCAGCCTGCTTCAAGGCCTCCCCATCATCCCTGTCCCTAAAAAACCAAGGATCACAGGACTCAATGACTACAGGCCCGTCGCCCTGACCTCTGTGGTCATGAAGTCTTTTGAGCGCCTTGTCCTGTCCCACCTAAAAACCGTCACCGACCCACTCCTGGACCCCCTGCAGTTCGCCTACAGAGACAACAGATCTGTAGATGACGCAGTCAACTTGGCCCTTCACTTCATCCTCCAGCATCTGGACTCCCCCGGAACCTACGCCAGGATCCTGTTTGTGGACTTCAGCTCTGTTTTCAACACCATCATCCCGTCTCTGCTGCATAGCAAGCTCTCCCAGCTGCAGGTGCCCGACTCCACCTGCAAGTGGATCACAGACTTCCTGTCTGACAGGAAGCAGCACGTCAAGCTGGGAAAGCACGTCTCAGCCTCCAGGACCATCAGCACCGGTTCCCCCCAAGACTGCGGTCTTTCTCCTCTGCTCTTCTCCCTGTACACCAACAGCTGCACCTCCACTCACCAGTCCGTCAAGCTCCTGAAGTTCGCGGATGACACCACCCTCATTGGACTCATCTCTGGTGGGGATGAGTCCGCCTACAGGTGGGAGACTGACCATCTGGTGACCTGGTGCGGTCTAAACAACTTGGAGCTCAACGCTCTAAAGACAGTGGAGATGGTTGTGGATTTCAGGAAGAACGCAGCCCCACCAGCCCCTATCACTGTGTGTGACTCCCCCGTCGACGTGGTGGAGTCCTTCCACTTCCTGGGCTCCATCATATCCCAGGACCTCAAGTGGGAGCTGAACATCAGCTCCATCACCAAGAAGGCTCAGCAGAGGATGTACTTCCTGAGGCAGCTGAAGAAATTCATCCTGCCAAAGTCAATGATGGTGCATTTCTACACAGCCATCATTGAGTCCATCCTCTGCTCCTCCATCACGGTCTGGTACGCTGCAGCCACAGCCAAGGACAAGGGCAGACTACAGCGCATCATTGTTGTGCCCCTTCCATCTGGCAGGAGGCTGCGGTCAATCGGAACCAAGACCTCACGCCACACAAACAGTTTCTTCCCGTCCGCAGTCGGGCTTATTAACAAAGCCCGGGTCCCCCACTGACTCTGACATCCCCAGGACATTTCCTTCTGGTCTCTCCCCTGCACATCCCTGTTTCTTTATTTAAACACTCTCGTCACTTTTAACATTTCACTTACACTTCACTTGTTTTACAATCCTGGTATCTGTTTTGTTGTGCACTTTATTTTATATTTTATATTTTATTCTTTATTGCAAATTTTATGTTTCATTTTCATGTTTCTATTTCTTGCACTGTGTTGATTGCTGATAGTTTAATGTTATTGTTTATTGTTAAATGTTACGCACCAACCGCCACGACAAATAGAGGACAAATAGAGAAAAAGAGGCCTAATAAAGTGTGTGTGGCCCCCACATGAGCACCTCATGGCTGACTCCAGGTATGTGAAATTTCCACTATATACTTATATGTACAGTATATACAGTCCTTGCATAAGTATTCACCCCCCCTTGGACTTTTCTACATTTTGTCATGGTATTACCACAGATTAAAATGTATTTCATTGGGATTTTGTGTAATGGACCAACAAAAAATAGTCCATCATTTGGAAGTCGGGGGAAAGTTTACATGGATTTCAAAATGATTTACAAATAAAAATCTGAAAAGTGTTGAGTACATATGTATTCACCCCCTTGAGTCAATACTTGGTAGAACCCCCTTTCGCTGTAATTACAGCTGCAAGTCTTTTGGGGTATGTCTCTACCAGCTTTGCACATTTAGAGATGGAAATGTTTGTCCATTCTTCTTGGCAAAAAAGCTGAAGCTGTCAGATTGGATGGAGATTGTCTGTGAACAGCAATTTTCAAGTGTTGCCATAGATTCTCAATTGGATTTAGGTCTAGGCTTTGACTGGGCCATTTTTAAACATTAACATGCTTTGATCTAAACCATTCCATTGTAGCTCTGGCTGTATGTTTAGGGTCATTGTCCTGCTGGAAGATGAACCTCCACCCCAGTCTCAAGTCTTTTGCAGACTGCATCAGATTTTCTTCAAGGATTGCCCTGTATTTAGCTCCATCCATCTTTCCCTCAA